ATTGACAGGCGGATCGGTGCAGCTTCGGCAGTGATGCGGTCGCTGTATCGGACCGTTGTGGTGAAGAGGGAGCTGAGTCGAAAGGCGAAGCTCTCGATTTACCGGTCAGTCTTCGTTCCTACTCTCACCTATGGTCATGAGCTCTGGGTAGTGACCGAAAGGACAAGATCGCGGATACAAGCGGCCGAAATGAGTTTCCTCCGCAGGGTGGCTGGGCGCTCCCTTAGAGATAGGGTGAGGAGCTCAGTCACACGGGAGGAGCTCGGAGTAGAGCCGCTGCTCCTCCACGTCGAGAGGAGCCAGTTGAGGTGGCTCGGGCATCTGTTCCGGATGCCTCCTGGGCGCCTCCCTCGGGAGGTGTTCCGGGCATGTCCCGCCGGGAGGAGGCCCCGGGGAAGACCCAGGACACGCTGGAGGGACTATGTCTCTCGGCTGGCCTGGGAACGCCTCGGGGTCCCCCCGGAGGAGCTGGAGGACGTGTCTGGGGTGAAGGAAGTCTGGGAGTCCCTGCTTAGGCTGCTCCCCCCGCGACCCGGCCCCGGATAAGCGGACGAAAATGGATGGATGGATTATATATATATATATATATATATATATATATATATATATATATATATATATATATATATATATATATATATATATATATATATATATATATATATATATGCCACTTTGTTTATACATGCCTTACGAAATTTAAATGATATAAAATAAATTTTAAAAAAAACAATGAGTACACTTTATGATATTACTCAGTATTTAACAGCTTACATGAGATTTACCAGAATCATCAACTACTACCACAAAGTACCAACAAGTACCACCAACTACAATGAAGATATTTAAAACGTTTTTTTTAGTAATAAAATGTATATTTCATCTACATAATAATAGTACTTTCTTACTTTCGCACCATCGATACTTGATACTTGCCCAAATGAGTATCTACTTTCGATATTAATTTTAGTATTGTTTAGTTTCTGATTTACAATATTTTTGGCAATCTTAGCATGATAGCAGTTCTCTTTGTAAAAACTACTACTCCTAATAATATTACTACCATTACTAATACTGCCACCAGCTACCATTAACAACTACTACTACTACTCCTACCTTTTTCAGCTGTGTATATGACTGAAAGGTTTTTATTCTACACTCTTCTCTTTTAAGATTACATTTTATGATGATTATTTATTTGACTTGTTTGTATTGTGATTTTAATGTCTTTATTCCATAAAGCACTTTGATTTACCGGAACTTTGTGTACAAATTGTGTGGTATGCAAATAAACTTGCCTTGCCTTGCCTACTACTCCTACTACTCCTCCTACTCCTCACTATTATCAAGATACTTCAACTTCTAACGATACTAAGGGGAACTCACTCAATACTCAATACCGATTGCGATAACATAATGAAGATTTTTTTAATGATTTTTTTAGTAACAGAATGTAAATTTCATCTACAAAATAATTGTACTTTCTTATTTTTGCAGTACTGATACTTGCCCAAATGAGTATCTAGTTTCAATATTAATTTTAATATTGTTTAGTTTCTGATTTACGATATTTTTGACAACCATAGCATGATAGCAAAGTAAAAACTACTACTACTCCTCCTACTACTACTACTCCCAACACTACTCCCTACTACCAAAACTATTACCACTACTACCAACACTACTACCAACACTACTACCAACACTACTACCAGTACTGTTACCAACACTACTACCAACACTACTACCAACACTATTATTACTACCACCAACACTACTACCACTACTACTACCAACATTACTACCACTACTACCACCAACACTACTATTACTACTACCAACACTACTACTACTACTACTACCACCAACACTACTATCACTACTACCAACACTATTACCAACACTATTATTACTACTACCAACACTATTACCACTACTACTACAAACACTATCACTACTACCAACACTACTATTATTACTACCACCAACACTACTATTATTACTACCACCAACACTACTACTATCACCAACACTATTACCACTACTACTACCATCATTACTACCACTACTACTACAAACACTACCAACACTATTACCACTACTACTACCAACACTATTACCACTACTACCACTACTACTACTACTTCTACCTTTTTTAGCTGTATATGACTGAAAGGTTTTTATTCTGCACTTTTCCCTTTTAATGTACATTTTATGATGATTATTTATGTTTTGATTTGTTTGCATTGTGATTTTAATCTTGTTCTTATTCTGTAAAGCACGTTGTATGAATTGTACTATAAGAATACAGTAAACTTGCCTTGCTTACTACTCCTACTCCCACTCGTCCGTTTCTAAATAGAGTAGTTGTGGATTTCAGGGGCCTGTTACGAAGTGTCCTATCTCTGGGCTCTCCTCTTTTTGTGTCAGGATGATTTATTTTTGGAGTGATGTCATCGTAGTGAAACTCCTAAAACAAAAATCGCTGACTCATGGTTATACATAGACAAGACAAGAGACAAGACAGGATTTCACTGGAGGCCTGACTCATGGTTTTAATTAAACACACATATGACCTAGATTATATGGGCAGTTTATGAGAACGATCACAGCATGGTACCAGCTCGTTCTAAACATTTATCTCAGCTTATAGGCACTAAAATACATTATCTTAGCTTTATATTAGGAGAATAGTAAATATAAATTAGTTAGAATTGCTTCAGCTAGGTCTACTACTACAATTACCACCACTATTACTATTGCTGCTACTACTACTACTACAATAATACTCAAATTTCAATACAAAGGAATTCACTCAATACCGATTATGATACCATAATGAAGATTTTAAAAAAGCTTTTTTTAGTAAGTACTACAACTGCTATAATAACAAGGACTACTACTACTGCTGCTACTACAACTACAACGACTACTACTACTGCTACTACTACTACAACTACTACAACTATACAACTACAAGAACTGCTACTACTACAACTACACAACTACTACTCCTGCTACTACTGCTGCTGCTACTACAACTACAACTACAACAATTACTACAACAGTTACAAATACTACTACTACAACAACAACTACTACTACTACTACTACAACTACTACTGCTGCTGCTACTACAACTACAACAACACAAGTACAACAACAACTACTACTACACAACTACAACTGCTGCTGCTACTACAACTAAAACTACTACTACTGCTGCTACTACAACAACAACTACTACGACTACTGCTGCTACTACAACTACAATGACTACTGCAGCTACTACAACTACAACAACTGCTGCTGCTACTACAACAACTACAACAACTACTGCTGCTACTACAACAACTACAATAACTACTACAACTACTACTGCTGCTGCTACTACAACAACACAAGTACAACAACAACAACTACTACTACACAATTGCAACTACTGCTACTACTACAACAACAACTACTGCTACTACTACAACAACAACTACTGCTACTACAACTACAACAACACAAGTACAACGACTACTACTGCTACTACAGCTACAACGACTACTGCAGCTACTACAAGGACTACTGCAGCTACTACAACTACTGCAGTTACTACAACTACAACAACTACAACTACACTCAACCCAACTCTATTTCAGTAGTAAGGAATTCACTTAATACTTGATATCGATGACAGTAATAGAATGTAATTTTCTTATATTACTGTAGTACTACTACTACTACTACTACTACTTCTACTATAACTACTACCAACTACTGCTATTGCCATAAACACACATTCAATCCACTATGAGGCATTTGATTATTGCCTTGATTATTATTAACTCTGCTGTTGTTATCAGCTACTACTACGTGCCAATTCTATTTCAGAATGGTCAACAAATTTAAAATAGCTTGATATTTCCTATCAAAAGGTCATGGGTTCAAAAAAAGTCAAATTACTTTCAGGGTTAGTCCCATTTCTCATAAAGTGGAGTACATATTGTTCAGCGAAAGGCTCAATACTCAACATATATTTGATAGAAATACTACACTTATCTCACTTAGTTTCGGTATTGTTCATAAAGAGAGTTATTTTTTTGCTTTGCTTGTGTGTGGGATGGAAGAGTTTGTAACATCTTAATTTAAAACCAAAAGGAAAACATCTATTAGTTTAACTCTGTGCTTGAAGTGCTAAAAATAACTTCTTTACCAAGCTTTGAATACTGGGTCCAAGTCTATAATTACTCCAGAAATGTTATCTTGGAAACACGTGTTAAAAAGGAACAGTGTTGTGTTATGCTAATGTGGCTAAATTATATGTTTGGCTGCTTAATTTTCAAATAGTAATGATAAAGTCTGCAAGCACGTTTTTTTTTTTAGATAGTTAACGTGTAATATTACACGTTAACTATCTAACTAATGTGTTTCATAAAAGGAAATCTTGTGCTGTAAGACTAAGACAATTATACCAGTCATGTGATTAAAATCATATTATACTTAAAGTTGTAAAGAGTTGCGAAATAAGGGTTTTCACTGGCTGTGCTTAAAATTTACCCTGATATTGCCCTTTTTGTCCACTTTTTTAGATCACAAATTGCATAAAAAAATAATAATTATTAGAAATCCGTAAGAATCTTATTCAAATTTCTTCATAAAGTAGGGTACAGGTTCTCGTAATGGGGGATGAAAAATAAAACATGCCTACAAATATAATGACTGATAAACGTATTTTTGCATACTTTAAATTATAAAGTAAAGGTTTCTATGATTAGAACAAAAGCAAGAAAAAATAAGTTAAAATTACTTTGGAAAATTGCTTCCCAGGCCTCAATCCCTGCATAATTCCCAAGAACATAACGGGGGTCTTGCCGGGGTGTTTTGATGAAAAACCCTCCGATCATGCGTCCGATCGAGTTTTTTAATAGTTTGAAGTATGATATAACATTTCATAACAGGTTTGAAGCAACTTTGCACACTTTTCGTAACAGTTGACAACTTTTTCCTACCTGCACGGAATCGGCGGCCATCTTGGTTTTCGCCTTTGAATCAAATCCTACGGGGAGCAGCCTGGAAGTCCAAAAACAACACTCGCTTTAGTTTTTCCTCTCTTTCCACTCAAACAAGCGTCTGATTTCCACGGAGAGCCGCTCATGTCGGGCACAAAAGCCGTCCCATGCCGTGTTTCCACTTGTTGGTCGCAGTCCCGCAGCGGTCCGGGCCGGAGGAGGGTAGACCGGAGCTCGGATGAGAAGTGTCCCAGTGCAGTTGGAGAAAAGAGGCGGTGGTTAAAGTGGAGACGCCCGCCCAGAGCCGCTCTGCCCCGGACACACAGCTGCACATGTGACCCACAAACTTCACAGGACAGGCTTACCTCATCCCGCCGGGGCTCTGAATCATCCAGGGCCAAACGAGGGGGGCGCGCTCACAGAGAAAACCAAAAGAGACAGACTGGTCCGGTGTTTCCCATTAAAGAGTCCGTGTTATGCTCTTTTCTGATCTGTTATCATTTCGTTTCTTCATCAAAAACATATCTGGAGTTGTGTTTTGTTCCATTCACACATGTTTAAAGCATGCATATTTAGGCTAGAGAGAAAACACTCTGTTCCACTTTGTGATCATGTGTCTTTAATAGAGGAGAATATGTCCAAGTTTTCCCTCATATTCTAAAAGAAACAGAGAAAGAAATTATTATTAACTCATTTACCTTTCTCCTGTTATAGACTATTATCAAAATACACAGAAGTAAGTTTGAACTTTGAAGATATTAAAAAGTAGTTACCTCTTCAAAAACATATCTGAAGTTGTGTTTTATTTCATTCACACATGTTTGAGTAATCCTGCATTATTAGTCTGACAACATTTCCAAAGCTCAAAATACTCTGGTTCACCTTGTGATGTCATGCAGGGGTAGTTTTCAGGTTGACAGCTGCCTTTCGCCTTTAGTTTAGAAGAGATAGGCTATAGGAAATCATGCAGATTGATTGATTGATTGATCATTTCAAGTTTATTTCTAGTTTGTGCCAAGAGAGAAACAGTAATCATGTATACTACATATACATTGTAAATAACAGAAAAGCACATTTCTCAAAAAGGAGTTTGAAAAAGAAAAACTTATATCAATCCGCCCCTGTTCATGACATAGTTTCAAAAATGATGTGGTTGCTTCTGTACATTGATCAAATATTTACATATAGCAAAACAAATTACATATCATGCATACAAAATATAATTTTACCGCCAACCCATTTTGTACTGCACACAGTACACAGATGATTCTAGTGAAGGTGTATGGAGTTTAAAAACACAGTGGAGCACTTCCTTTATTACCACGTGTGTTTTCTGTTTGTGTGTGAGTGAAACCACAACTCCAGAAATGTTTGTGATGAGGAAATGACATTATAACAGATCAGAAAATAGCATAATATGGCCCCTGACTGAGAGACTAAAGTGAAAGAATTAGTCTGCACTTTTCAGTTTTTGGTTTCACTTGATGTAGGTTGACTACACACAAAAATATATCATCAGAACTCTATATCACAACATTTGCATTGAATATTTGAATAGATGCGTCAACCTACATTACATTACGTAACTTTTCATCTCCTGTTTGTTTTTTATGCTGAGAGAAAGTCCCTAATTTGATGTTTTGGTGTTTTTCAGATTCTAGAATGTGATGATGTCATACTCCCAGATGGGGGCAAGAGACAGTATTTTCCCTTTTGATTATATTGTTATTGCCATGAAATAATCCAAAGTGAAATCATCATTTCTATTATTGACTATGATGACTATAGATTCTGGAAAATCTGCCTTTCAACCATTTTAATTTTAGTTTAGCTTTGTTAAAGGAAATTATTTGGACACCGCTTCTCGCCATCTGGATTAAATAATATTGACCTAGATAATGTTGTAATGTCTGAAATTCAATTATTAAACTCTTATTATGCTCATTATACTTAATTACATTGTACTTTTAGAATGTGATAAGTAGATCAGCAGACAGAACAGTGAGTGACCTCGTGTAGTGTCTTTATCGAGTCTTTCAGTGACATCTAGTGGTTGAAACGTTTTATTGCACGTATTTTCCCTCTACTGTCATTGGTCCAGGTATCCGTGTTATTGACCTATAAGAAGCGCTCCCCTCTCACTGTGCTTTCACAAGTCTCTGTGGCGCAATCGGTTAGCGCGTTCGGCTGTTAACCGAAAGGTTGGTGGTTCGAGCCCACCCAGGGACGAAGTGTTTTTTTCATTTTTAACTTATTTATTGTTAACTTATTTTACACGCAACCACAAATCTTTACAACGTCAGAAGTGTGTTTTTATTTATTCCAATGCCGGGTTTCAGATTCTAGAATGTGAATATGACATACTAGAATCTGTGCATTTTCCTGTATTATTTCATTCATTATGTGCCCAGTACCAGTGTTAGGGAGTAACAGATTACATGTACCTGAGTTACGTAATCAGAGTACAAATTATGAGTAACTGTATTCAGTTACAGTTACTGTTTCAGTGAGTGGGAATTAGATTACAGTTACTTGGTTGAAATAAATGCATTACACAGAGGTATTTTCCTGTTTTCACATTTTGGGCTTTATCCCTTTTTTCCCCCGGTAATTCCACTCATTGCCGGACAATAAACCAGGTCTAAACCAGGTCTAAACCAGGTCTAAACCCAGGTCCAAACCAGGTCTAAAACCAGGTCTAAACAAGGTCTAAACAAGGAATAAACCAGGACTAAACCAGGACTAAAACCAAGTCTAAACAAGGAATAAACCAGGACTAAACCAGGACTCAAACCAGGTATAAACCAGGTCCAAACCAGGTCTAAACCAGGTCTAAACAAGGTTTAAACTAGAACTAAACCAGGACTAAACTAGGACTAAAACCAGATCTAAACCAAGACTAAACCAGGACTAAACCAGGTCTAAAACCAGGTCTAAACTATGTCTCAAACAAGATTTAACATGACTAAACCATGCCGTGCGGACCGTGTCCTCCTCTTCTATCAATAATATTTTTAATTTGGTTCAGTAAAGTTTGGGCTTTTTTATTTTCTTTAAGCAGACAAAACTTCTTATGTGAAGATTTCCTCATCTTTGTTTCTCTACAGCAAATCAAGTAATCCAAAGTATTCAGGTTACGTTACTCACTTTAAGTAACCTAATTTATTCCGTTACAATCTACATTTTGGGGTATGTAATCTGTAATCTGTAGGGGAATACAGGGGGGTATGTGTTTTGTGTTTTTGTGCTTTGTGCATGAAAAGCGCTCTATAAATAAAGTTTGATTTGATTTGATTTGATATTTTTGTAGGTCTATATTTTTGTAGGTCCACCTGTGCAGTAAAATTGACACCTGTCTCTTGCTATCTTTTTTGCTACTTATTTTGAATTAATTATTACCATTTATTTTTTTACTCTTTGTTATTGTGATGTGTGAGCTACTGTGTCCAAATAATTTCCCTTGTGCATCAATAAAATTTGTCTGAGTCTAAGTCTAAGTTTATTTGTTTGTATACATTAAAATAATACCAATATTTTTTGTGTACCATAGACAGCCTAACCCAGCATGAGTTTCAGATGACATCACCATATTCCATGGTCTAATAATATTTAACACAAATGGGGGCAACTAAAATTAATATTGTTAAAATGCTCATTTCTGTTGTAATACAGACAGTGTGTTTTTGTATCTGATCTTTAATAGAAATGATCAGGTTCCACATTTGTGAATTTACCTTTTAGATATTTTATGCCAATCAAATGATCATCATATTGTAACCGGGTGTTTGGACTATTCTGACTGTGGTGCGTCCGTGAAGGCGTCCACCTGTGCGTCGCTGCGCGTGGCTCCCGGCGTCACTGATTAGAGATTAGAAAAGGCTGCGGGCGCCGTAGTGGGGCAGTCGGGGCTTTCGTGGCTTGCAAACGCGGCGCGTGTAAGTACCTGGAGTTGTTCCTTCAATTTTTCTTAGAACTTGTTTTAATGCCTTGTTTCTGGTGCTTAAATTTCAAGGTGTTGTCTGGAGCAGGCGGAGACGGCGGCCACTCCTAAAGCCTGAAGTATAGTTCTGCGTCGTTGCCTTGTCGCCGTCGTTTTTAATGTATGGATCTGTGTCGAGGTCTGTGCACCGCGAAGTAATTCACTGCCTAAACACTAGGGGGCAACGATATCTGTCCATTCATATATACGGTCTGTGTGTGTGACCCGCAGACGTGTGATCTCTGAAAAGTTTAACATGAACCATCTCTAACGCGATAAAAGCACAGAACAGACTCACCATTAGTACAATGTGACTCTGTCACAGCAAGAACACGCATATTCCACTGAGTCGTGTCCTTTTTAAGTCCGACAGAAGATGACGGCGTAGGCTACCAGGAGCGAGCTGTTTTATGAACGCTTTGTTTATGTAAGTTAGCCACGCGGTTTAAAGTTTCATTTCTGTAAAACATAAACGTATATGCGCAAAGCTGCATTAAACACATTATTTCTCAATATATACTGAAAGAAAAGCCGACAGGAAATGTAAACAGAGCGGTGGTACGGAGGACCAACCGCAGCTCTTATCGTCTGCGGCGTTTCGACGCGTAGTTGGAAAATTTCGGAGGTGCACGTCGGTCGACACAGAGGCCCTGCGTCGGGGGTACGCGTCGACGCGGACGATTTGACACTGGACCGTAAATTGGCCTTAACGCGCTCCCGGCCCCCATGTAGAATACGCCTATTCTAGAAACCAGGTAGAGGCTCTGGGTGATGCATGTTTGGGGTTGGTGCCGTTTGTTGGTGTGTATTAATTGATGTACCTCTGTGGCAGATTACGCTGCTGCTAGATTCTGCTCTCAAACTCTCAAAGTCCCTTAAATTCTCTCGTAAAGTGATTCCGTAGTTTCTTGTATCTGTGGTGGGAGTGTAATTGCTATAGGATCGGCTGGGGGGGTGTGCGCAATAGCGCATAGTGCACTTTAAAACATCTAAAGTCACAAACAGTAAAGCCACGCACCTAGCACTTTGCATCTAAAAAAATACTATAGCACCTTTTTTATGTATAAAATTGTTGTGTTTGTGTATCTTTTTAAAAGAAAATGTGTAAAATGAGCTCTTTTAATATTAACTAGAATAAAGAACCGTGTTTTTCCACTTTAATGCCTTTGTACTGTGTTTTAGCCAAACTTGCCTGTGTTGTAAATAAATAAATAAAGTGGGGGAACCCGTTTTGAAGCCCCCCCTCTGTTACAATAGTCTAGAATCTGAAAACCACCAATGATAGAT